CAGTAAAATGTAGTCTTCGGTACTCCACACTCACCATACGAAACACAGAAGTTGGTATTCTGTAAGGGAGTAGTCCTTCCCCGGTCGAAAATATAGCTGCAGCATGGCGCTAACCTGGTTAGTAACCTTGGTCGATCCTTCCTTGCTAGCTCCAAACGCCTTTTTAGAAATGGGAGGCCTTGTGATCAGACTTTACATTTATGACTGCGTAAAAAATCACTATCGGTGAAGTATTTAAATAGTACTAGTGTAAGTACTATCTAGTTGATTTTGTAGGTCGATACGACACATCTGCTGCATGCTAGGTGACTCGCGTCTTGCCAAGTATGCGACAATGTATGTGTAACAATTAGCAGGCCGCGAAAGACTTGACGGGAAACGGTGTAAATACTTAGGACTGCAAGTTATTAACTGTTTTACTAATTAAAATATTTGTACGAGTATAAAAAAACAATATATGAAGTGTTATGTAATAAGCGCTAAGTAAAAATTGGAGTCTTTTTATCATCAACCCGTGAAGGTCTGCTGTTGGATACGGCCATCTCTCGTTGTGCGGAGACCATTGTCTAACATTGGACTTTCCAGACGCCTTACACCTTTAGCGCTGCTAAGTAACTGGTTTATTTAAAACATATATGTAAGCTGCAATTATTCCGATTAAAATTTATATATAAATATGGTACCATCGTGAATGTTCACATAAACCACAATTTTAAAAACAATATCGATATTTATACGTCACTTAACTATCACAGAGTCTATTTTTGATACTAGTAATGTGATGTTCTATATCAACTGACCTATTAATTTGTAGGTCGCAATATTATTAAGCAGCTTTCGTATTGAATTTATAGTAGTTATTAAATAAATGATGAATTAAAGGTAGAGACCATGATCTAATACTCTTTTTTTACATAGATCTTGTTCTGGGTAATTAACACACTCTTAGCCATTTCTGCTGCCAAAAAGTAGTTCCTGCACTGCTATCTCCTGGTATGAAGGGTTTCTATACCCTAGATAGAATAATAACTGATTGTGAGGCATTCGATGTTAGTCCTCGGAGATGACAGGTGCGAATATTTTGCAAACATGTTTTTAAAAATACATTAAGAGATTATTGTGAACCTGACAATGATGAAAATACCGACGTAAAATAAATGAATATTAATAATTATCTGTTAATATTAAGGGTAATTAATAAACAGAAAACGACTGCGTTTGTGTTTAGCGCATATATACGAGTACGTGTATGAAATCCTATTATAAAAGAAATACGCAAAATAACGAAAGTAATAAAGAACAAGATAAAGTTTCTTTATGATCTTATAATCTATTTAACATTAAATCACCGTATGCACAATAGCAATAATATCATTTCTTACATTGTTATTTATTATAATTCTACTTCCGAGGTTATCATTTTGATAATAAAATCGGAGCTCCATCATTATTACGAAAACTATTACACCTACCTTTACTAATACGTTCGGGACTCCATGTGATAATAATGCATTTCAAATACGTGGATCGCTTAAGTAAATAATAAAAATAAAAATTGCAAAACTGACTTCCAAAACAAATAAAATAATTTCTTTATTAAAAATAATTAGGGGCTTCTAAAATATTATTAAGCGGAAATTATTTATTTGTTTGTATTCAGAGTAAGTCGGTTTTACTTTGTTTAACTGTAGTACGTGAGGGTAATATGGTTACTTTCTGATTACTCAAAGACTACATACAGCCTTGTTACTTGTTAGTATAGATGACTCTGTGATACGATAGCTCTTCATTAGTCAATAAAATAATATAGGGTCAAAAGGGCTCTGCTTTATCGATGCCATTCTGACAGTTGACATGATAGTAGATAAATATTTTACGCGATTTTAGTATTGTGACGTGTTAACTACACGTTATTTTAGTTGATTTTCGAAATGTTCCTAATTATTACAAAAGCTTGTTTGCTAATTTTTTAACATAATAGTTATGGTATACGACTTTGTGTTATTGTCTCTGTCCTCCTCCTAGTTTTGGTTTTATAGGGCGGCAAAGCTTAATGTGACCATATTACCCTTTAAGTAGACCAAGAACACAAGGTCCACAAGTTCAAGGTAATAACTAGAATGACATCTAAATAGATGTGAATATATTACATGCAAACTTCACCCCTATTTCTCCGCCGGAGCATATTTTTAGGTATACTTCCTTGTTTAATAAAAGAAAAATCATTAAAATCATTAAAGCCGTTCCTGATAATGATGATAGTACATAATATATGTATATATATATATATATATATATATATATATATATATATATATATATATATATATATATATATAACATACAAAACAAATTTATATGGCAGATGTGAACGGCAGAGTCGGGAAGGGACGCCCTAGAAAAAAGTTTATCAACCAAATTGGCGATATTTTGAAAATGGGCCACGTTAAAAGTACCCTTAACCGATGAGCATGTATGCGTAGATATATGGATGTAAAAGAGGCGAAAGAGGTATGTCAGGATCGTGTCAAATGGAAGTCCGTGGTCTCTGCCTACTCCTCTGGGTGACAGACGTGAGTGTTTACGCTTTATGCTATAAACATACGCATCGAATATAGAACCTTTTCGTTATTTTTTAATGCGGATTCGAACGTCTACTGTCGCTTTAAGATTTCATATTAGACTTTACAAAACATAAAATACATAAAACTGACGACACTGGCCGTCAACAATTATCGATAAGAAATTTATTCGTTATAATTCAAAGTAATACAAAGGACTCTTTGAACTTCGAACATTATCTCCGGATGTACTTCATAAAAGTAAATTAAAATAAGCGAACACCAAATTGCATTGTGCCAATTCATTTCTTATCGGCATCACCTCTATTCCGATAGAAATGGGTCGACGTCCGCATCGATGTACAAATAATTATTCAGAGGCGTCAAAATAAATGTCTGTAGGCACTAAATGTTTTCAGTGTAAGTAATAAATAATTTAAATGTTACTTTTTATAATAGCTTTCACGTTTCATATAGGAAACTATATAAATATTATATAAACATTACACTACACACTTATACATTATAAAATATGAGTCTCACTTTGAAAGGCCTTAAACTTTAAGCATAGATGGCATATACTCGTAGAAAAATCCTTTTATACATGACAAGCAGAGATTAATTTTTCCTTTCCGGTAGATGGCGCGATAAGTTTTGCGTCTGATTCAATTTGTACTCTTTACAGTGTAAATATAAAAATTATTAATAACATGACCACAGCGTCACCTTGTTTACGTGGTAGAGCCACGCTGCAGCTATATCATGCTTGTAGCACGAATGGGTCGGCTCGAACTCGGAAGGACCACGCTCTCACAGAACACCAGCGTAAAATAGCAGCTTAATACGAATCTGAATCTGGAGATGATCTGGAGACCCTTTTTTACTGGAAACAAGGCATTCCATCTTAGACCTCAGGGGTAACGACGCATCTACGTTTTGATTTTTAATTGAGGATAAATTTAGATGTCTATGAGTCACAGCACCCACTTACCATTAGGTGGACTGTGTGCTAGTTTGTCACATTATTCTATAAAATAAAACCTATCGTCTAGATTTTGAGATTTTCTTTTTCGACACTATACCGATATATATATTGTTAACATAAATCGCGAAATAAAATTTGTTAACAAATTTTCTACGGTGCCACCTATGTGAGCCTAGTATAGCTATGCACCATAGTCTCGATAACAAATAATCCACGGTTTTACTATGTCCAACGACGAATTTTAGAGTCTAAAAATACCACAATCTTACCTATTTGCAGTTATGCGTTTTAAACTATAATACAATAAAAACAAAGTTCATACGTAACCAACTTAACTTGAAAGAAACAAAAAAGAAACTAAGCAAAACGGAGGATTAATTATTATAAATAAACAACAATCACTGTGTTATAATAAAAACTTAGTGTAAGCAAATTCAAGCTAACTAAAATTTACAAAAAAAAAACAGCCAAAATCTTCTTTGTCCATTAACACATTATAAAATGTCCAGCACGGTCACTTACTATCAAGTGAACTGCAACAAAAGAACATTAATTTTTCATTCTAATAAATCATACACTATCGTAAAAACGCATCCTGATGCATGTTATCGAGAATGCTTTAACAATCCACGTCACCTGTCGGCCATCGTTTCCCCAAAATTGGTCACATTATCACTGTCTTTCTATAGTCTTTGACTACATCGTCTTTTTTATGACGTATCAAATGTGTTACCTGCCTTATATTTAACAATAATCAAGCTATTTAGCTAAATAAATTTCTCAATTTTCGACTGTGTTTTCCTAGCTTGGGAAATACCTATGTGGGCTATAGACAATCGGATAGAGTTAATCACCATATTTAAAAAATAAGGCAGCACTATTACTGGCGCTTCTGTTTATACTTTTGTTTTAATCTATGCATAATTCGCGATTTACGATTACATAAATGCTTCGAGTGCTCTAATCGAAGATAACGCGTAACAATCGACGCATTTGTTTTCATTAAATGTATCAACAAAACTGTTGTTGAGCGAGAAGCCAAGTCCATAATGTAATAATAATTTAATTACATTTTACATCTAGTTTTTACTTCCTACTAGTTTAGCTTCCAGGTTCTAGTTCTTATGATATCTGGTAATCAAATTATATTTAGTTTTAAATCCGTTCACATGTTAACGATGACTTTGCTGGCCTAGATTGTTTATTACCCATCTTTTTTAGTCTCACCTTATTTCGAATTGGGTTAACACTTATCTTTTTAATATTTTAGAACACGGATTTAAAATTAGAAAGTATATACTCTCCCTTTCTCTCACAATCAAAACACACGTTAGTTGCGTACGTAAAATATTCTCATAATTTTGAATTAATTTATCGTAGTTAAATTCTTGACGAGGTATTCGGAACTCCATTTTTTTTTACATTACGATTTACAATATTTGACATCTTTTCAGGAAACATTTATTGGTGCTCTTCACACTAATGTGCATGGCGACAGCCTACTGGGGACCGGACTTACCTCCGGGTCCTTACTGCGGTAGAACGAGAGAATGCTGTAATGACAGAAAAGACTCCTGTGCACATCAGATACTGAGTAAGTAATTAATGAGTAAGTAATTAAAAAGGGACATTCTTGTTAGTCTATTTACGAATCTGCTATTGGAAACTCACAAATTGTACAAGGCCAAATTGCACGCTAACTGCATTAACAACTCAGTAGCGCACTGGCTAGTATAGGTTTATTAAAGGGTAATATACCGCTGAAGAATAAATCTACAAAAACTACCTACTAAAGATTAATAATAACCCCGGGGAATTCTGTTTCTAATCTTTTTCATATTTTTTTGTATATAACATTGTTTCTTACTAGTTCTTCGCAGGACAGAGATTTTTTTAGTGGTAAAGCTTTAATGACGTTCAGTAACATCACATCATCATGATCATCATTACAGCCCTTCACAAGTCGCTACTGAACATAGGTCTCATCCAAGGATGCCACAAAGCACGTCTGTATCCATCGATATCCTGTAATTAGTATCGATGACTGAACTAAATAAACATACATACATAGTATTTTTTAACAAAGTAAACGGAATCGTTCCGGCTCAGCCCGGGCTGAAAGAAATTAAATAAATAAATAAACGAAATGGAAGTTCGGCATGCAACTTAGAGAAGTTTCCCAACGGGATAACGATCCGGAAACAAACTGAACAGGTTTCCGTGTATTAAAAAAACACCTTACACGGGTGTCTTCTACCGTGAATTTTACGTTATTGTCAGCTTGATCGGCGTATTGATGATACTCGTAGGAATACACACGTACTTGTTTGCACCATATACAATCGCTGGAATAGGTATTTTGGATTGGTATTGCACGAGATGGTTAAATTTCGTTATCTGTCTATAACCGATACCATATTTTTTTTTATAGGATAGGGTGACAAACGAGCGCACAGTCCACCTGATGGTAAGTGGTTGCTGTGGCCCATAGACATCTACATCTATCCTCGATTACGAATCAAAATGCAGATGCGTTGTCACCCGTGAGGACTAAGATGGAATGCCTCGTTTCTAGTAAAAAGGGTCTCCGGTTCTCTACACTCACCATACGAAACATAGCAGTATTAAACTGTTATTTTACGCTAGTATTCTGTGAGAGCGTGGTCCTTCCCCGGTCGAGCCGACCCATTCGTGCTACAACTATACTACTAATATAACTGCAGCATGGCTCTACCACGTAAAAACATTACGTGGTAGATATATTAAATATTTTTATCTTTTCATAAGCTTTATCATATTTTCGAACCATAATAACTCTGTGTATCGTATAATGAAGAAAACCGGAAATCATTTATTACTGGAACGAGACATTTCATGTTAGACCTCAGGGATGAAAAAACATCTGCATTTTGATTCTCGATCCACTTACCAGCTTTTCAACTTAGCAGCTTCGTGCTTGGGTTTTAAGAAAAACATCGTGAGGATTCCTGCATTTCAGAGAAATTATATAGAATATTATCGAAGTATGTAAAGTTCGCCAACATGCATGCGCGACGGATATTTCCCTGCCATTAAATCCCCTAAAAAATGAGAGGAAGCGTGCGCCTAATAGTAGGACGTTTAAAGGATGTAATTTTACTTTTTAAAATTACATAAGAGGTTATACTGTCATCTATGAGAAAGATTTAGGTTATGATAGGATTTTTCTTATATTTTCGAAATTCGCTTTTTACAACAAACACAATTCACGAGAATATCTGCAATGGTTCAATAAGGTCGCTTAAACACGTCACTGGTTGGTTAAAAAAAACAAAAACGAATAATTTTTGCCAAATGTGGAGTTTTGAGTGAGAAAATGCAGTCTTTTAGCACTATGCTGTTTGGAATAAGTCCTTACTTTTCGAGAACAAAATTGACGCCCTATTTATATCTTATTTATTTGTTTTTTAGTATCTTCGTTCCTATTTTAGTTTGAACCTGCGTCTTTTGCAGATACGTTGTGTTACTGCGACGAGTTCTGCAATCGAACCCGGGCTCACGACGACTGCTGCCCGGACTACGAGCCCGTATGCTTAGGCACGTCAGCCAACGCGCTCATGTTGCCCTGCATGCACAAAGGACAGAGCTATTTGCCCGAACAAACCAGGACCGAAGACTGCAATTTATGGTAAGTGTTTATTTTATTTTAGATAGGCTAAATGTTAGCCGTAAATTACGCTACAGTGTGCGACCCGGGTTCGATCCACGCCGACACCAATGCAGTTGTTAATTGCAACTTTAAGTAATGTATCACGTGCTTGGCGGTGAAGGAAAAGATCGTGAGTAAACCAAAATGTTTAATGAATAAAAATATTTCGAAGACATGGTAGAGCAATGCCTGCAGCTATATTATGGCTGTAGCACGAATGGGTCGGCTCGACCGGGGAAAGACCACGCTCTCACAGAATATCGGTGTAAAATAGCAGCTTTATACTGTTGTGTTTCGTATGGTGAGTGTAGAAATCCGGAGACTCTTAGGCATTCCCTCTTAGTCCTCAGGGGTGAAAACGCATCTGCGTTTTGATTCTTCATCGAGGATAAATGTATATGAGATTCAATCAGGTAGACTGTGTATTCGTTTGTCACCCTTATTCTATAAAAAAAACATGGGAGGTCTACAAACACGCACGTAACGGTTTTCTAGTTCGGATGGCAGAAAATCAAAGACAAGGACCCGGTTCTTAGCTCACATTTACATCTTGTATCTTGTTAAAAAAAAGAAACAACGACAAATATTTCCTTGTTTAACACGCGCTTATTAACTTGACCTGTACCTATTGAATTTTAAAAACGCGTCATTTCATTGATTCATTTTTAAATTTAGAGTTTCTATTCACACTTTGATTAATCTGAAAATTTACAAACGTATTAAAAACTGTTGACGGTATAATATTTCATGACTGACTAGTATTCGCATTAGGAATATATTGTTCATGTTTAATACGTAGCGTTTTATTTTTTAACTCTTATTAAATTTTTTATCGACATACGACCAACTCCGATTTTGCTCGGCATTTATTTATAAATTACATATTAATATAATATATAACAGAAAATAAGATACACAGTAAAATAGAAGTAGGTCAAGTAGGCGACACAAAATACAAATTTTTGATCATTATTCATCATCATTACAACAGTCTACAGCCGAACATAGGTCTTCTCTAAATAAAATATATATTATGAAATATTACATAGGCCATCTCGTCTCGTCCCGTAGGGTGTCGTAAAAGTCGACAGAGTGAAATAATAACAGGAAATGGGCAGCAGCATCTTTCTATAAAAAGTTACAGCCTATATACGTCCCACTGCTGGGCACAGGCCTCCCCACATTTCTGAGAGGAGTTTAGGGCAAGGAAGTGTCCGCCGCGCTGCCCCAATGCTTGTTGGCGAACTTCACATGTATTCGAAATATTATTTTTTCTTATTTCTCAGACATGCAGGTTTCCTCACGATGTTTTCCTTCACCGCCGAGCACGTGGTAAATCAGCACTTAAAATTGCAATTAACAATTTCATTGTTGCCGGCGGGGATGGAACCCGGGTTACTCGCGTTCTGTTACATTTACAGCGATCGTTAACCATCTGAGCTACCACGGCTCTCCTTTCTATAAAGTACCACAAAAAATAATACACAAATAGTACTGTACCTGAAGGTAAGTGGACGCTGTGGCCCATCTCATCCTCCATTAAGAATCAAAATGCAGATGTGTTGCCACCCTGGTGGACTGAATTGGAATTATTTCCAAAATATCCTCAAATCAACAAAACAACAAACAAAACCAAACACTTTTACCGAGCAAACGGTTGTTTTACTGAAAAATAAAACTGGAATTTGATAGTCGAGCTTCTATAATTGATTACGATGTAAAATGCTGATTCAATTACGTTCTGTGTACGTTCAACGGTGAAGAGAAAAAAATAAACAAATTCTATTTACATGTTAAGATCCCGTTACTGAATTTAAAAATAAAAAAATAGTTCGTTACGATTGTGCATGTAATTAATCATAACACGCTCTGTGTTAGACACTTGTAAACTAGTAATTATAAATCACCGTTACGAAATGCAGTCACATTAAAATACTTCTAAATGATTAATGAGATCTGAAACCAGGGTTACCAACTATTTGTATACAATTAGTAACTAAATACGTCTAAAAAAAATACTCGGAGAGCCAACATATGTAATAACAGGCCATGAAGCGTTTCCTCTTAGCCCCAATAATGCATTATGGCTTTTTACCGTGCCTCTATGGCGATCTATGGGATGGTTTTTTTTTGCGCCCGAAGCAAATATGGGCAACCCTCCGGAAAGCGGGGGAGGGAGGCGGTGAATGCTCATAGCATACCACGCAGCCGGCTGCGTGGTTATGTGAGACTTTTACCCACTAAACACCGCCTTTTAGGAAATGGCTTAACGATCTGACTAGAGATCTCTAAGCCGTATACGAACGCGACCCTCCTTGTCAGAAAGGAGGGCGCAAAATGGGGTGGTCTGACTAGAACAATGGACTTGCTGTGCTCTGTATTGATGATGATGACGATTTGTAATATTATATATGACCTATTTACTTGTTTTGTCACTTCAGGCTAAACGGTTTTCTACATCATTCGTAAGGTCGTAGTCGTTTCCCGTCCGATTACAATGTTGCTGTCAGAAAAGAACAAGCTTATGTTATGCCATGTCTAATTTGCCAACAAGGGCTCATAACCAATGAACACCAATTAGTATTGTAAACAAGTATCTACTGGTGTATAATAAAAAATACGGTTGACCATACAGCCTATACCTGAAACTTCCCGTTAATTAAAAATGCAAAGCGCTCCAAAGTCCACCTATTATTTTAAAAAATTCAAGAGAAATTGTTGTCGAAATTTTCTAAAAAATTTTTCTTTCGTTTTTTTAAAAATTAAGAGCTGATTAGATTTTGGAATCGATCGATACTTTAGTTTAAAAGTAAAAGAAAACATTTTTTTTGAAAATAAAATTTTTGAGATTTCTAAAAATCTACCGAGCCGAATTGTATTAAAATTTACATGAAATCTAATCGCAATGGAACTCTTTGAATGCCGTGAACCGCGTTTAAATCGTTCAAGCCGTTCAAAAGTTATAAGTAGTTTACATACACCCACGCACGCCCTTACATACATACCGGGATACATCCTCGTAGTAATAGTCAGGATGGCTTCCTAGGACCTCAAAACGTGAAGATCTGATGAGAACTAAATTTTCGAAAACCGGGATGAAACCAATAACTTCCCGATTTTAAAAGAAAAAAGAAAATCGTTGATTCATAACGGAAAGTTAAAAATTAACCAAAAATAAAAATAGCGTGACCTTGTTAAGGGGAAATATAATCACAAATGGCTTAGCAAGATCCTTCGTTATGCCGAAAATATTGCAGCATTAATTTTAAAATAAATATATGGTAAAAGTTTAGGATTAATTTTAAGGATTATGTTAGACGAAAACACGATTCCGTAAAATTTTCTCGACAGAAAAAAAAAATCCAAAGTTACCTCCAAAAGAAACAATAAACCGCTGTTATTCATAAAATACTTTAAATAAGATCATGAAACTTTGCATACTAACTGAACTAACTATAAAGCAGTGCTTATGTTATTAACTTTTTTAAAATACCATTAATTTCACTGTAAAAAGAAATTACCTAAGCTATCGGCCTTTTGAAGCGTGATTCCTGCCGCACGGTCACTTCGCTTCGGCCTTTGAACGGGGAGGCTGTGTCGCTTACGATTAGAATATACTTTACGCAACAGGACGACGTAAAATTAAAATGGTAAATAACCATAATAAAAATAAGAAGCGACTGGATTGGCGTTAATAAACGGGCATAAATATGATAAACCTAATGAAATAAGTGTCTAACGACCTTTCTACTTACAGTATTAGTGATTATAAACTTGTCGGTACATAGCATACGACGCGCGGGCAAGTGGGGACGAAATTAGAATTCTAGGTGACTTACTCTATCCCCTTAAGTCGACTGTATTGCCCAACCTCTCACACTCACATCGCGTTCGAAGTATACTGGTAGAGATATATACGTGGTATAGACATGCTGCAGCTATATTATGATTGTAGCACGAATGCGTTTGTTCAACCGAAGAAGGACCTCCCTCGAGTTATTCCATCTTAGTCCTCAGGGTTGACAACGCATTTTCCGCCAATCATGGACTGTGTGCTTGCTTGTTACTCTTAACAAAACCTGACTACGGAGTCAGTGACTCCTAGGTAATATGAATACTTAGTCTGAGTGAGTTTTCAGGTTGAATATTTTGTGGCGGTCCCCTTGTCTCTTACATTGGTACAATACGCAAAAGAAGTTTAATCTATTCATATACATAATACATCTGTAGAATAACTATATGTTCACGATTCACGCGAAAACTACCCGATATATTTCTATGAAATTTTGTATGTAGACAGTATATGAACAGACAACTTTTTATCCGATTACGGAAACGCAAAAAAAATGTATTTTTCCTTTTTTTAAGTTTGTCATTATGGCTGCCGATGGCGTAACGTATAATAAATCTATAGAAAAGCGTGTGTATATAAAAATTAAACTCATCGCGCCACCACCCAAAAAGGGTAGAATAACATCTGCCGGGTCAGCTAGTGACATAATAAGTGAAAGACCACTATAATATTATATTTACCGTACGATTGAAGAACGAAATTTGTTTTTCTTCGTTTTAATAACACTAAACGGCTGGCCACCGTAACTGATCCATTTCCACGAGCGTTTCAGCACTAGAGACTCAGAAGCGAGGAATGTCAAGGTCGCCTCATTACTCATTGTGCATCACTTGTTCGTCTATAGATATTAACACTTTCAATTAAAACTTAGAATAGAATCAATGTTTAGTTTGTCTGAGGGGTAATTAGTACTTTTAACTTTTACTAATGAGGCGTTGACCGCGATCTCTAACTCAGACGTTTAAAGCCTGTACTGCAGAATATTGTAGCGCTATTGTGACTTCGGTGATAATCGTGTGACCATGGAAATCGTTTGCTATTGGGTACAATTTCGCAACTGCCTTATGTTTTTTATCATAAATAACATAATACAAACACTCACGCCCTCCTGCACATCCATACACCT